ACCTCCCATTTTATGACACCGACGGCTGGGGTCGGCCAGGGCCTGATGCTTTCAGCCTGTCCGCTAGGCAGAGCTTAGTAAAAGTTGTGTTTTAAGGAGGTCTCTGCTAATAGGATGTCATTCAGCTGACAGAGCGTATTACCAGCATGTTGCAGTGCGTGAGCTTGACTTTTTATTAAAAATAATAATAATTTTAAAAAGCCTGTCCGCTTGCTATAATAACATGGACTTGCTGGTCATTAATACAAATTAGCCAAGCTCTGGTATAAATGAGGAGTCTGTAGTTGTGACACACTCCCTACCAGGGCAGATCTCAGTAGAGTGCCTTTTAAAGCCAGTCCATTTGAAGATTAGATCTGCCTTCACTTATTTGCCAAGATCTGAATTCAAGCCTCTAACTTTAATTTTTTTTTCTTTCCCTGCGGGAGCTGATTATTACCCTGGGTGCCCTCCGGCGCGGTGCCTGCCTGCGCCGCACACTGGTACTGCTCTCCGCGGGTCTGGGAGAGGAGAGAAGCGAGACCAGACCTCGGCAGAGAAACGCCTTTTGCCGTTAGGGACCCTGACACTCACAGGGTAAGGAGCAGCTCTGGAAGGGGATCAGTGGGGAGAAGGAAGGAACATGCTCTGCTTATTAAAAGCACAGGCCTATGATTTTGGATCTTGGCTCTGTTCACAGCGTTTTCGCAGGCTCCCAGCATCCTCTGACTTGTCTCAATAATCTTGTTTCCTCTGTGGACACCCCATTACAGTTCACAGTTAGTTGGAGAGGCAGAACTGGAGAAAAACACTGTTCTTCATAACTGTTATTGATAAACTGACCAATCTAGTGACGTTTTTTCTCTCTTTGGGATTCTGCAGAGGAGCCTTGCTGGGAGGAGAGAATATAAGGTTCCTCTCAGCAGGCATTTCAGAGAGCTGGACTAGTACCTTTAACTGAGGGTTGAGCTTTTGGAAGCAGCCAGATGTTTTCCTTACCTCTCAGCAAATACCTCCTTTCTGGATCTCCAGGGGTTGGCATGATGTGGCCAGCTGTGCAGACTAGCAAGGGCTACAACGGGCAATGCTCAGTTCCTCAACTGTTTTCATGTTTCAGAAAGGTTCTTACCTGGACAGGGTGTCTGATATGTTGACAGTTATCCAGGACCAGATTGTTGCCCCTTGGCACCTGTCATATTGCAGTGACAACACTAACGTATTCCCAAATGGCTGGCTAACCTAGTTCTGCCTGATCGCTGCTGATTTCCAGGCTATTTGAAACTAAATGGATCCCTCATCTGGCATGCATTGTTTTCTTTACTTAAGGCCCGTTCCAGAGACTCAGGCTCTTTAAGAGTCTGCAGTATGCTTTCCTAATGCAAACTTAGCATCAGCCTTTCTACGTAAGCGAAAGGGAGCATCACATGTCACTGCTGGTGGTAGCAGGAGTAGCAGTGCTAGCCTGTATTCAGGCTCTTTTGCTGATGTCTCAGCTAGCCTATGCAGAGTAGACGTAACAACACAATGGCAAAGACACCTGAAGTTCACCTAGCATTTCCAGAATGCTGCAGCAAGGACGTGAGAACTTTTCTCAGTGTCCGGGTAGACCAAGCTTCAACGTGAATGCAATCTCAGCTAGAGCACAACCATACTCAAGAAGAATTTCCCCTACATTTACAAACTCTCCAGTTAGCAGGGCCTTTACAGTCATTCAGTTTCTTGGCTCAACATATTCTGGTAGGGGGCATCAGCCAAATGTCACCAATTTCCACATGACTCTTCTTAGTGGTCTGTCTGGGCTTTGGTGTCGTTCAAAAAAGCAGAAAACTTTTCTGTTTGAGCAGATGTCCTATTTGCAGATCAAAACAGGTGGGACTGAAGAACCAAAATGTTAGGTAGCAATGTAAGTTGGCTACGTGAATGGAATCCTGAAAGATTTGCTTCTTCTGGGGAAAGGAAATGTGATTTTTTTTTTAGAAATTTCAGTATATTTACCTTTCAGCCTAATCCGTATGTTAAATTATATAAACTAGGAATTTACTACATGTCCCCACTCATTGTATATTATTTAATAAAGCCTTTGCAGGATAGGTGACTTAAGTTTAGAGTGGGTGGGAAGGAGCATGTGTTATTGCTGTTGACTTGGCTTACTGATAGTCAGTGAATTACAACACTTCTCTAGTGTTTAAATATATGCTCAGCAAATCCAGCCATGGGAACTGGCTTGGCATGTTAGCTCTGGCTTTATGAGGTTCCTAAAGCCAAGACAGAGGGGATGCAATAGTGAAAGCAACCCTTCCCCCAGACTGCATATTTGGACATCCAGACCCACAGAGGCTCACAGAAAACCAAGGTGATGAAGGCAAGCAGTGGTGAGTGGCTACTGTGCTGAGGGTGGTGTGAATTGATTCAGTGTGATCAATGACTCAGTGTCAGACTCAGCCCTCCCCAACACCTCAGTCTTGAGGTTGATTCAGACACCTTGTGGGCTAGTTATTACACACTAACAGCCTTCCTCTTGCTAGATTCGTGTGCACGCTGAATGCTGAGTGGGAACGGCAGAGTCAGAGGAGCTGACTTGGTGTAGAGCTCAGGTACAGACAAAAGTCCTCAGCAGATGGGCCACAAACACCAAGCTGTATTCTGCAGCCTCACATTTGGGATCAGCTTACATTGAGATTAGTCCTCATCTAGGTAACCTCACACACCAGGCAACCATCACTCAATGGATTTCATCCAATGTACCGAGGGGTCGTACTGATTTCTAGAGCTGGGTTTCTGCTCTGCCTGAGGACAGGGGTTGTGTCTCCCGCTTGGCCTGCAGGAGGCCATCTGGCAGTCTTGCATGCGCTGTGGGTTACTTTCTAAAAATCGATCTACCATCAGTAAACTGGCAATCAGATTATTTGCTGGAATACAGCCATGAAATAATCCTAGGCCATCAATGCTGCACTAGCTTTTCCTAACAGCTGGCCTTTAAAGATTGCTCCCAAAAGGTCAGAAAGGTCATCAGAAGCCCCAGTCAGCTGGGACTGGCCTGGGGGGCACAGTTACACAGATGCTTTTTGAATAGGATGAAGGACTGAGCAAGAAGAAAACATTTTTCCCAGGCACCTCTCCTCTTTCAGTGCCACCTCACCGCCGTCTGGCTGTGCTTTCCCTTTCCACTAAAGATGGCCAGCATTAAGAGCTGGGTTTTTAGCTGGGTCAATGTGTTGTGTTCTCTTTCCCCTCAGTGGTAGCTTGCCGTCACAGCACCTTCCTTTGGGGGCAGGGAGCTCTTCAAACACATGGTTGCCACTTCTCATTTTGGACCAGTCACATTGCATCCATTCCCTCCCCTTCCCCATCTCTCCTTCTTCAGAACAAAGCCCCTTTTTCTATGGCCTTTGCCTTTGTCATCCTTTCACCAAAGCCTAATGGGAGACATAACCTGCCTGCCTCAGCGTCCTTCATCCTCCTGCTTTGTGATGGAGGAACCCCTGCCACTGCCATCTCCCTCATCCTTATTTCCTGACTCTCATTCTGAAAAGATTATTCTTTTCTAGGATCTGCTGAAAATGCATTTAAAGAAGCCTTTGCTGACACACTTGCTGCAGTAGATATGAATCATTTTGCTTTGCTCTTCTAGTTCCTGGCATGTCACAGATCTTTTGCACATTCCTTTGTAGGCCCTTTCATCGGATGTCTTTTGGAGGGGGAAGGAGCAAAGGGAGGAAAGCTAGCAAAGCCTACTACAAAGCTTTCGGGAAAAGAGGGGCTTGTGCCGACTGAGGCAGCACAAACTGGGACTTCAGGGGAAAAGGAAGCAGCCTCATGCAAGGGAAGAAAATGAGGCATTTGATCTGGGGAGCACCATCTGGCTCTTGCCCTCCGTAAAGGAGGAGCTGTTTGCAATCAAAGCACTGTTCATCTGAGGGATATTGTGGCACAACACACTACATGGCTATCAGCCTCTGTGTAGGATGTTGTCACAGGATCCTTCGACTCTATCATGGTGCAGGGCCCCCTCTGCCCCAAGGCTTCCCCTTGGTCTTGTAGGAAGCTGCCCTTGCCTCTGGCACTGCCAGCAATGCAATCTCAGCTAGAGCATAACTAGACTCAAGAAGAATTTCCCCTACGCTTGCAAACTCTCCAGTTAACAGGGCCTTTACAGTCATTCAGTTTCAACAGCCTGGTGCTGTTTTCACATGCCCTGGAATCTCTAACTATCCTTCTCCCTTTCAAGCAGCTCCCTTGAAATTCAGTTCCTCATAATGACTCTCTTGTTCTTATGAGCCTCTTTCCTCTCCCACTAAACTGTAGCCCTGTTATGTCCAGTTACCCCCAATACATATTTAGCATAGGTCTGGGCACCTTGCGACAGGCTTGCCAAGCCTGGGCAACGCTGTCGAATCCAGGACCCAGAAGGCAGAAGAAGAGCCTTCTGCTTCCTGGTGTCTCCTCTGACTCTTTCAGACTGGTGGGGTTGGTGAGGGAACCATTAGGACTTCCAGACAATAATGATACATGTCCGATAATGAAGGCTGAGAGTGCTGGTCCTGAGGTAGGGGTAGGAAATAGCAAAAGGGAAGATCTAGTCTGGGAAAGCTTTGCAGAGCTAACAGGACTTGGGCATCCTGCCTTCTGCTCTAGCCTGGTTCTTTTAGCTCATATCTGCTTATCTTCAATGTGGGTCTGAATAGAACTGACCCACCTCATCAGTTAATGGATGTTTGGAAGGAGTTCAGCTGGTAATTAATTGTGAAAGGCGGAAAAAAATGAATATATGCATAGTAAGCATCTATCTTTACAGAGTCATAAGAGCAGGCATATTGGAACAAATGTGGATTATCTGGCCCAGTATCCCATTTCTCACAGTGACCAGATGCAAGTATACATGTTGCTTCCCTCCAGCATTCTCCCCACCTCCGACCATTTTCAACTCATACCGAGCCAGATGTAGTTTCTGTGTGTTTAATCATTCTCAAAGGGGTTTATCTTCCATGAACTTGTCCAGTCTCTACTGAAACCGCCACAGATTTTCAACATCCACAACATCCTGTGGCAAGAAACTCCCCAGCGTAACTACAGATGGTGTGAAGAACCATCTCTTTTCTGTGTTTTGAACCCAGCTCCTGCCACCTTCACTTAAGGCCCTTATTTCTTTTATTGGAAAAGACAGTAAGCAACCCTTTCCTGTCCTCCCTCTTCAATAGCACTTTGAATTAACACCACATTATTATCTGTTTATTACATGTAGCACCTAGAGATGTCTTTGTGCTGGGCACTATACAAAGATAAGGCTAAATAATAGTCGCTGTGCTGCAGTGCTCCCAGTCCAAGAAAAGGCAAAAGCAGGCAAAGGGCAGGGGAAAAGTGCATCACAAAAGAGTAATGTGAGCAAAGTATTCTTATTGCCTGGCCTTTTACTAAAATTATCTTTTTCTGTTCCAGGCAGTCCAGTTGGAAAACGTGGTGGTGACTTCTGATCTCAAGCAATTTTTCTCCAGCTTCTCCTGAAGGAGAAGTGGGACCTGAGCAGGATGCAGGAGCCAGTGGCTGGTGATGTGAGCACAGCCCTTCCCACATTCCCATCCCAGGCCAGCTTCGCTGCTGATTCATCCTGTATACAGCGCATCATTGCTGAGGATCCTGAGTGGTCCCTCGTCATTGTCCCACAGCTCACCGAGCTCTGCCTCCAGCACATCATTCGAAATTTTGAAAGTAAGCAGGAGTGCCTCTCGCCTGGGACACACAGAGAGACAGCATCTCTTTTGGGAAGCAGGGGGTCAACAGAGCAGGCAGATGCATCTGAAAGTCACAGAGGGTGGTACCCAGCCCTGCCAGAGAAACAGATGGGGAAAAACATCTCCTCAAGCAGCTAGTTAAGCAAGCTATTTAGTTGCTAAGCATGTACTTGCACACTCCAGGGACACTCCAGAGGACATTAGTCCTCTGGGCTGCTATCCAGGATGTGACTCTGCCCTAACCTTGTCCTATCATTTCTTCTTCCTTCCATGGTCTGCTGGACTCACTACCTCAACTGTGACCAGGACTGTGAAGCTGCTATTTCCTTCTCTTGATTCATACATACATGATGGTAGTACTCAAGGATAGAGCTCCCATTGTGCTGAGTGCTGTACAAAGAGATGTAGAAATACTCCCTGCTCCAAAGAACCCTCATCTCAGAATTCATATTGTACTCACAGTTTCAGGCCTTCTCCACAGCTTTTGGTGGTGATGTGATAAGTCATGTCCCCAGGCAGGGAAAGTGCTTTTGAGGCAGGTGGACTGATGAAACACATAGAAAAACATAGAAAGGGTGTCTCATCTGGGAAGCGAGTGGGAGGAGGAAAGACAGGACCTACCTGTGTTTTTGGCTGACTTAGTGGAGTTGTAGCAAAAACCAAAGATAGGTATAAGGGTATGTTCACACTGGAACTATAATACAGTATAGAGAAGCTCAGCGCTGCCTTAGGTCCCAGCTGGGAGACCTTCCAAGTCCTTTCAGTTTGATCAGTCAGCCTGATGCCAAACGGATTGGACCGACAGTGCATGCATGTAAGTGTGCTCAGTCTCTTGGAGTCCCTCATACCAGCGTCTGACCTGTGCAGCTGCATCTTGCCCACTGCTGTTGCCTGAGTGAGCCAGACTGAAGCTAGTCTACTTATGCCAACATGTGTCTCACCTCTGCTTGCATTGTGAGCCTTTGCAGAGAAGGTCACTGCAGTGCCAGCTCTCTTATTGGAGAAGAGACTCCGGGAAGAGCCTCTGGTAAAACTCTGCACGTCCTTAGGAAGAAAATGCCCCAGAGAGAGAAAAAATATAAGACTAACCCCACTTTGTGTCTAAGAATTTGACTTCCCATGTGCAGACAGGCCTCTCCACTGATAAGGTCTGTGATTCAACACATACATGTACCTGTCACCAAGTATTCATGGTGTATATACACATTGCTTTTCTCTGGTATCTCTTACCACAAAGAACTTCCACCAGAGAAAAGTCAGCTGACACTCAAAGCAAGGGACTGAGGAGAGAAAGCTCCTGGGAAAGGAGAACCTTTATTTAAATAGGGTGGATCTGAAGGCTAAGATAAAGTGCGTCTTAGTGGGAAGGAATCAGGAATCAGTTTGGAGTAAGACAGACACCTGAGTTAAGATGAAAAGACGAGGACTTGTATGAAAAGCAAACAGACAGTTCACTTCTCAAATATCATCCTTTAATACGGTTAGAATCCACAGGGGAAAAGTTCAGCAAATGACAAGTCAAATTCTGCCATTACTGTAAGCCTAGAATAGTTGTGTTAGTGGCAGCAGTCTTTCTCTGAACATAAACTGAATTAAAACCAAAGTTAAACTGATGATCTGGATTTAGAGTGCTGGAAAGCAGATCCTTTCAAGATCTATTCAAAACTATATGCAAATTCCCAACTACAGGTCAATAACTTTAGTCAGGACCTTGTTTGTGGTACCCAACTTTGGTGGTTGCAGAGACAGGAGCTAAGTTCCTGATGCGGTCTCCAAATATTATGAGAGTAAATTCAATTACGGTGATATTTTACAGTAAAAGATAGAAATCCTACACAAAAATGAGTCATTTTCTGCCAGCTTAGTTCCCTGCACCGACTAAAGGTAACTGAGAAGGGAGCCAGTATCAGTAGAGGGGAGGGCATGAACACACAGCTGAGGGTCTGGACAGAACCTTGGCCTACAGGTGCCACGGGCCTACAGCCCAGAGCAACCTCTCCTCCTCTCCATCCCCTCCAGATAACCCTATTATGGACTGTCTTCTGCCTGAGCACCAAAGGAAGGTGCTGGACAAGCTCTCCACTGGACTTCCACTAACTGTGACTGCCAATCTAATACGTGATGAGGACTACTGGAAGAGGTGCTGCACTCAGCGCTGGCAAGTGTGCGATGTCTCCAACTATGGAGATAGCTGGAAGCGGATGTTCTTCGAACGTCACCTGGAGAATATCCTGAAATGTTTCATCCCTAACATCACGGACCCCAACCAGGTCCTGGAGCTCATCCCACTCTGCAAAGAGTATGTGCGGAAACTGGAGGTTGATCAGTTCCTTCCCCCAGTGAAGCTGGATCAAAAGGAGGAGGAAGATGACTTCTCCGATTCCGGGAGTGACTTTGAGCTCAGTGAAGCCTCCATGCATCACTATGACCTGGGAGTCCTCATTACTGCTCTCCCTCATCTTGAAGAGCTTATTCTTACTTATGGTGTGAAGGACTGTGGCATGAACTTTGAGTGGAACCTCTTTAACTTCACCCACCAGGACTGTTACAACCTGGCTGTTGCCTTGAAGAAGTGCCACAACTTGAAAGTAATGTATCCCAAACTGAACCTTTATTCCTCAGCTAGATCTTCAAATCGTCTGGGGAAAGAAACCTAGGGACTAGGTTTGCTTCCTGGCCACTTCTAGTCTCGCCAGCCTAGTGGGTTGTTTGTAAGCATCTGGCTCAAATACTCTGCCTCTCTGGGACAAGTCTGTGTTAGTCAGTAGAGAGCAGTGTCATCCAAGTGGCAGCCTTCAGTACCGGTTTAGACAGGTCCATAGCTGCTGAAGTCCCTAGAGCTGCACCAGCCTTGACTGAGCTGAGTGAAATGTCAGGGCATGAAGATTCATTCCCCTTTAGACACGCTGTCTTGTAGCAGGGCAGCACCTTTCCCTTTGCCATTTCCAGTCTGGCAGAGTGAAGAGAAGTTGACTTGCTGGCCTAGTGATGAGTATGTTGTTTCGTATATGTTCGTGTTAGAACAGATTGCCCCAGGGTCAGTAAGCAAAACATT